GGTTTCCCATCAAATACAGATATACTTTTATCACTTGATACACAAACACACAAACTTCCATCTGGTGAAAATCTTCCACAATTAATAAATCGGCTATGAATATCTTTCATACTCTTCTTAAATTTAAATGGTGGTCCTTCAAACCAACATGGATAATTATCTTCTCCCGTTGTAATTAATCTAAATGGTCGTGTTCCTCTAAAATCACATGACAATAATGTTTTTGTTTGTCCTGAAATCTCTCCAACTGATGATCCAGCATCCCACATAAATACACTTCCTAATTTCTCTTTTCCTTCTCCAACTACACATATCCTTTGACTATCTCCAGTCCATGCAATATCATAAATTGGTCCAGAAAGTGCTTTAAAACTAAACTTTAATGGATGTTCTTTTTGTGTCGTATCCCATATTCTAACATTTCCTTGAACATCCCCTGAACAAATATAATATCCACTTGGACTATATTTCGCACATGTAGTTTCACTTGTATGTTCATAATAAATATCCGTGTCTAATGGATTGTTAACGTTCTTAATAACTATACAATTCCCTGTTGGATAAACAATATGTGTCCCCATCTTATTATGGTCATTATACCCTATATGGACTGGTTTTCCTCTTGTAACAGATGGTAATGGTGCATATACTTGTGTCACTTTAGTCATTTGATTTTACTTTTTGAGTTTCTTTGACGGTGAGTTTATTTAGTTCTTCATCTTTCTTTTCTTTTTACTGCTTCTTTTTCTTATTCATTTTTTGAATTTCTTCTCTTTCACTTTTTAAATGAATTCAATTTATAACAAAAACTTTATTCAATTCTCTATTTTTATTTCAATAGAAATTTACTTGTCTCTCATCATTTCTCTTTATATTCAAGGAAGGTGTTTTTTGTTTATGAAATGATTAAAAAGTAGTTAATTAAGTGGTATTAAATTTATTTTCTATTATTTTTTACTCATCAGAGATTAGCCATGTTCTTGTGCTTTAAGGTTGGTTGTTCATCCACTTTTTACTTATTCTTTATTTTTTCGTTTTGGTTGAGAAGTGTTTTTTCCATTCTTCATTTATTTCAATTGAATTAATTTCATTTCATATTTCATCATTTTATTTATTGTTCATTCAAGTAACTTTCTCATTTGGTTTTGAATTTAATGTATATTAAAGCTTCTCTTTCTTTATTTTCTTATTTTCTTATTTTATGTTGAATGAATATCATGTACAACCATATTATTATTCCATTATTCCATTTATTCTCAACTCCATCAAATATATCCTTTTCTATTGATAATACTCATATATTCAATTCATTTATTAACAAATGGAATTGAGTGTTGATAAATAAATAACACTACCACCTTAATAAATGCTCACTCTTCTATTATAATCAATGATATTTCTGTATAAACAATAATCCCTACTATTCTTGAAGTATTGAGTAAAATGTTTTCTACTAAAAGATAACATCATAACAAGACAATAACTGATGATTCAAAGTCATGATTTATTTCAATATATGTGTAATGTTTTTGATTTTTCAACTTCAAATTCATTTTTTATAAAAAAAGAAAAGTCATTAAAGAATATTTTTTTTTTGTTTATCTGGTAATAAGAGTTTAGTTTTATCAAATATTTAGTAGAATATTTGATTAAATAATGAGGCATTTATCGTAATTATTTTAGAATAATATTTTATTAAGTAAAGAAACCATTATTTTTTGTCTTTGATACTAGTAAAGAGTAAGATGATATTAAATGATATTAAATAAAGTTAATAATTCCTACTAAGAGAGTAATTTATGAGGAATAAGAATCATTTAATTTCATTGATAAACATTGTTAAATTAAAAATAGGAATATTAACAAAATAAATTAATTTAAAAAGAACTTAAAAATAAGAATTAGCAACATGAACCAACGGAAACAACTAGAATTAAATTACTTAATGAATGTTGTATTATTTTTTCCAACATATCGTGATATATACAGGTTTATTAAGGTTAACCACAAATGCTTAGATACGATTAAAGGATTAAAAACCAATCCTATGTTTTATTCTTCAGAGTCCTTTGTTTCATTTTTTAAAAGATTTCAAACTGATACGTTTGAAGTTTGTGGGATTTATTTTTGCTACAATGAATGGTTTGAAAGAGCCAGATGTATTAAGTCACCATATTTTCATCCATTAATTGGATATCAAGAAAAAATATTAAATGTTTTACCAAAAATCGTCTCGCTTGACCTCTGTAGTGATGATACAATCTCAGATACTATAAATTTCTTTATTAAATATGCACATAGATTTACAAAACTTCAATCAATAACAGGTTCAATAGAAAATTTAATTAAATTTTTTAAACAATATACTAATAACGGAGAGAATATGTTTATTCAATTTCCTCGTTTAATATTTACATCTACTTCAAACAATAATTTTCTTCAATTAAATGATCAAACCATTGATTTAGTTAATGAATTAACTAGATATATACGTCAAAATGGAGAAACTCGAATTATTGTTTTATTTAATACACATACATCAAATGCAGATCTAATAAAAAGAATGAAAGGAATTGAATATCGTCATCGTGGGTTTATTAATAATCCAACACCATATTGTCTTGAAAATTACTGTTCATTTGATGGAAGTTTTTTAATTCAAAATACAATTGAAATAAATCAATTTAATATTATTATAAATAAAGCATATTCTAATTCAGAAATAATAAGCGGTATTCCGGGTAAGTCATTACTCATTAATCCAAATCAGAATATTGCTCCATGGAGTATTCCTGAATCAGTTAAAAAAGTATCACTACAATATATTTCATCTGAAATAGAAAATAACATGGTTTCTCTTTCATTGATATCAAATAATTTAAAAACACTCAAAATAACTGAATGTAAATATTTAAGATTTAAAACACCGTTTCCATCATTAGAACATTTAATAATACATATATGTGATTATATATCATTTGAAATGATAGATGATATGTTTCTATCATTAATTAGTATTACTATTAGTTCATCATATAATATCAGTCTTTCTGTCTCTTCACCAAAACTAGAAGAAATTCTGTTATTTTTTAATGAAGAAATAAATATCTGTGGAAAAGTTCCTTCTTCTTTTTCAAAACTTTTTATTCGTCAATCTAAAAATTGTAAATTACCTGAAATAAGTTTTAAAACATTAAATTTATTAATAGAAGAAAGTCCTCATTTAGAATTTTTAAATAAATCGAATCAAAGGATATCACCAATGAAATATGAAGGACTTTCAGTTGAACAATCAGAACAGTTATGTAATTTACTTTTATATCTTCCATCTGAATTATCAATTAATGAAATGCTTAATCCATCAAATCATTTTATATTTAGACGATTTTATTCAGTATCAAAGAGCTTAAAAATTGTTGATAATAGAGTAATTAAAACAGAAGATTTTGTTGATGACAATTACCAATTTTATAGTCAAAAATTCTATGTAAAAAATAATAAAAATTTGAAAATGAAAGTTTATGATTCTAAGAATGAACTTCATGAAATACCTGCATCAATTAGATACTTTGAATTAACTGTATCTGGTTATAATGTTATTTCAATTGGAATAATGGGAGTTGGTATTTATCCATTTGAGGGATCAAGACATCTTGGATGGGATCAAGGAAGTATTGGATTTCATTCAGATTGTGGAGATTTATTTAATGAAGGAAAAGCGTCTGAATATGGAATACCATTTGGATTAAATGAAGATGAAGTTCATATAGTTGGTTGTGGGTTTGATACAATAAATAGTCAAGTATTTTTTACACTTGATGGTAAAAAATACCCTTCAATTAACGTTAGATGGACAGACATAACGGCAGGATTTACAGTAACTGATATGGACTGGATTGAAATTAACTATGGTCAAAATCCATTTTCATTTGATTTATATCAATACTATGTACAAAACCAAAGGTTTTGTATTATAGTTTAATTGAAATAAATCATCAAAGCCTCAATAAGAATTTAATAAATTAATTTAAGTTATGAATTAATTGAAGATTCAAAACACCATTCTTTTCTCTTTTTCTATTTTTAGAGAAAGTGTCAAATTCTAAAAATATATTCAAGAAATAAAAAAAAATTAAAAAAAAGAAAATTTTAAGTAGTAAAAAGAATAATAAAAGAATTAATAAAAAATAAGAAAAATGAAAGAACTAAAAAAATAGAAAAAGAATATGAAGAAACTAGGAAAAGCTGAGAAGAATAAAACTACGAAAATGTTTAATGATGCATTTGAAAATTCAATAAAAAGTATTGAAAGGATACCTGTTAAAATTAAGAAAAATCAACAACCTATTATTGTTTGTGATACTACACCACCACCAATGATATATCCTATATTTTCAACTGAAAGTATTGCTTATACATCACTTTCAACATACCCTTTTAGAGATGGAAAAAAAATAGGAAATCCTATTTGTGATAAAGGAAAAGGAGCATTTTTTGAAGATATGGCAATAGTAGTTTTAGCTGATGGATGTGGACTAGGAAATAATGTTTATAATGCTGCGAAAGCAGCAGTTAATAAAATTTTAGAAAGTATTATTGATAAAATTGAACAATGTAAAAATACAAAAGAAATTGCTCAATTAATGGCTGAAAGTACATATGAAGGACATTTAGCAATTATTAATGATGGTATTGAATCATTTCAAATTGGTACAGCAACTATCATAATTAATGTTATTGTTTATTCTAATCAAGAAGAACCAATTATATTAACATTATCTATTGGTGATTGTCATTCATATAAATATAATCCAATTCAAATGAAAACAGAGCAATTAACAGGAAGTATTAGAACATCATTAAATGATGTTAGTGATTGTGGTGGTAGAATTGGTCCTTTTATTGATCACTTATATCCAGATTTAAGAAATGCAAGTATTAAATTAGATAAATGTAATGAAGGTGATATTGTTATTATTGCTACAGATGGATATCATGATAATTTTGATCCAACATTATTAGATTATAACCCAATTGATATTGGTATTGATGCTGTTGATTGGAATGAAGCAAGTAAAACACAATATTTTTTAGAAAAAAAACAAATATGGATTGAACGTCTTATAACTTCAATTTTTAAGACGTCAAGTTCAATGTGTCATTTTGTCGAACAACTAGGAGATTATATTACTGAAACAACACAGTCATCAAGAAGATTTGTAGAAAGTCATCCTGGAGAAAAATTACCTCCAGACCCTCATAAATTTCCAGGTAAATTAGATCATAGCACATTATTGGCTTATAAAGTTATTAAAAGAATAGATGCTTTTGAAATCATTAATAGTATTATTCCTAGTTATTCTTCTGGATTATTTGGTGGACAATCTATAAGTAGTGCTAAATTACGTGCTTCTAGACCAAAGAAATTATTTGTAAAATTACATAATAGACAAATACAAACACCAAGAGGTGATACTAGTGATCCTACATCTTTATATTTCTCAGAAAAAACAAGTCCTCATTCAATGAGTCCTATACATGTATTATCTAAAGAATCTTTAGTTACTTTAAATCCTGATGATAAACCTATTGCAATAAAATTTAATTCTGACCATTCAATTAATCCTCAAAAATCAATTAATAGTAGAGATTCAAGTCCAAAACAAGAACGTCCTTCTGATTATTAAAATAATAATTAATAACTGTACACTTTTGATATAACTCAATTATTCTAGTTTTATAATTCTATTTTCAAAATTAATTAAATAAACTTTAAAATAAAATGTAATTCAATACAAAATACTTTAATATGATAAATAAAAAAATAAATACTAATATAATTATTTAACTTTTGAATATTAAACATTTAATGAAGTAATTTTTACTATTTAATCTAATGAAAAATTAATTGGTATTTTCTTTTTTCACTCATTTAATAATGGTTTTTTTGAAATATAATTTGTATTACTTGTATATTAATGATGAAAACTAATTTTTGATACTTTTAAAGTAATAAATTTCATTTAAGAATATATCAACATAATGTTCTTATGTAAATTTGTATTTTTTAGTTTATTAGAAAAATAATTAAAAAATCAAAAAATGATTTTAATTTTAAATTAATCTTCTAATGTTCCATAATTATTATGAGATTTTTTTGATAAAAAGTTACCTAATGATAATCTTCTTTTTCGAGAGATTAAATTGTTTTCTTTGTTTTGAGAAAGGGTAGGTATTTTTGGAGCTGGTGATGATGTACGTTCATGGATAATTGAAACATTTGGTTGGGTTTCTTTTGTTGTTGGTGGAATTGGAGTTGATGAAATTACTTTAGGTTGTTGACTTAAACACGAAGAATTTTTATTTAATCCTGGTGACGCTGTTCGAGAAATATTATTTGATACTGCTACAGAAATACTTGCACTTGGTCTTCTTTTTTTAGCAATTTCTACATCAATTATATTTGTTGATGCAATATACCCAGCATTACTACGTAATAAAGGAATAGGAAGAGGGAAAAAAGATGGTATTGTATGATAGATATTAGAGTAATGAGGAATATTTATCATTGCTTCATTATCACCATAAGTAAGGAAAGGTTGTTGATTATTTGTTTGAAGTATTTTGTTACGTGAATCATTGAGTTTTTTTAGTGTTGGGGTTACATAGTAATAAGGAAAATGAAGTGTTGAAATATATGCTGGATATTCAAGTATTTTAAGTGAACTAATTGTTTGTGAACTATACACTAACTGCATCTTTACCATTCCACTAAATCCTAATTCACTTCCTTCAGGTTCTTTAAGGAAAAACCAAGAATTTATACCCCTATCCATAGGAAGTAAATTGAAATCAATATCAATATATCCAATATACTTCTTATTATATTTTACTGTAATTACTACATTATTTTGAGCTGAGTCTAATGGTACTTCAACAGTCCCTTCAATATAATTCTTTTTAGTTAAGTCTTTTACACAAAATATTGACCTTAATGGAATTCCTCTAGTTTCTTCAATTGTTATTGTTAACAAACCATTACACTCATTAATAACGTGTTGAGGAAGTCGTTCATTTTTTGGTCTTGGATCATTCCATGAGACAGAGTTGAAAGAATGATTAATAAATACTAATTTATTTTTTGACCAACCAACGCTCATGTCTGGAGGTAAACATGAAGTTTGGTAGTCAAGAAAGGTTGAGTCACGTTTAATATGATTAATATTAATGACTTGATTATCCATAGTATAAATAGTTTCTATTCCTTTTGGACATAAACATTCATATTTTGGTGGTAATCCATAAGGAATTTCATCAAATGAACAAGGACTTAAAGTATCAATTTTAATAGACTTAGTATATTCATCAACATTTCTTGAATTTGGAGTACGAGCATATACAACAATTGGTAAAACAGCTCTTTTAATTTTCTTTAAAACTTTTCCAGAATTAAATTCTAAAACAATTGCATTATGAATACGTAATGGAGAATCAGTAACATCTGGTGGTGTATTCATTGGGATATTAATTTTATAGGTGAATGTAGAAGTACCAATAGGAATATTATATACTGATGTAGAACTATTAATTTCACGTGATAAAGTTTTATTAGAAATATTCATAACAATAGTGGCAAAATGAAGAACAACTTTTTCAATTGATTGTTTTCCTCTGTTAGTAATTGAAAATTTACCAGTTAATTCATCTCCTTGATAACCACAACCAGTGTCACATAAAATATCCAAAACATACTTATTATATTCTTTTTTTGTATAACAACTTTCTAATAACGATTGAGGTAGTTCAATATTGTTATATAATAATGGAACTGTGGTTGGTTTTCCATGTATTTTTCTTCCTTTTAATAATACAACTATCGGATGTAATTCATAACAAATACCTACACCATTTGACATTAATGATGTAATATGAAAATTTTCATTAGTATGAATAAAAAAAGCATATTTAAATGTCCCTGGACACATTTCAGTAATACGACCTTCAGTCACATAATGATTAAAATTAACTTCAAACTCTTCAGAATGTATTATTTTCTTTTCAACTCCAGTCCACATTTTTTCATTTGGTTCATCATCAATTAACACAGACCCAGTTCCACCTAATGGTGTAATACCAGAGTAATGAACTAAAGATAAACAAACTAATATATTTTTTATAAATATTGGTTTATCAAATGTTAATGTAATGTATCCTTCAATTCTTTCCTTTATAGTAATTCCATTAGTAAATACAGTATTACCAAAAATGATTCCATCTGAGGTTGATATCATTAACTATATTTTCTAAGTTAATTTCTTTATTTCTTTATACTTGTTCATTATAATTATCTTCTTCAATTCTTTTTGTTTTTAGGTTTTCTTTCAAAAATATCTTTTAGAATTTTTTATATATTTCTTTCTTTTTGAATTACTTTGATGTATTGAAAAATAAGAAATTAATACTTTTTATTTTATATTTTATTGTTGGGTGAAAATACTGTTATTATTTATACTATTTCTTCATCAACTTCTTCATTTTAAAAGAAATGTGATGATTCAAAATAATGTATTATAAGTTAAATACAATAGTTATAGTTTATAATACTAACAGAAGAAGTAAAATCATTCCAATATTATGTTATTTTTAATTATTAATTAAAAAACCATGAAAAATCGGGATAAAATACTAAAATAAAATTCAAAAGAAAACTAAAAAATAAAAAGAAACTTTGAATTTTGTATGAGTCGATATAATAATTTTGATGAAATTGATTTTCGTAATGTTCAATTACCAGAAGCAATTAATAGTCAAACAACTGAATTACTAAAACCTAAAAAAGAAATAAGTTCAAGTATTCAAAGTGTAATTCAGGATAAACGGGATATAAACACACTTGCCAAACAAAGAGGGATAACAGAAGAATGTCAAAGAATGGCTTTTTTAATTGGATTATTAAATTATCGAGGGGTTGGATTTATTATAGCAAAAAGACCTAAAAAAGCTGAAAAGGCATTACAATATATTGAAGTTGTAGGTCTTTTTGGAATTATAGAAGTAAGTCATAAACAATTACTTGAAATTGTACAAAAAGAAGAAAGAGAATATTCAAAATTAAATTCAAGAAGTTATAATGAAAGATATCATCGAAGAAATATATTTGCTGTAACATATAATTATTTGTTACAACTTGCGATTAATTTATATAATGGGAGTCTTCGATTTGAAGTAAAAAAAACTAAATCTACAAAAGTAACAATTAAAATGCAAAAGTTTATTACAGTTACTTTAAAAAACAAAAATTATTCTACTAAAGAAATATTAATTCTTGGAGATAAAACTTATAAAATTATTTCTGAACTAATGTGTCTTTCTTCAATTCAAAATAATACTTCAAAGGTTTTTAAAATTGAACCTAAATTTATTCCTTTTCAACATGAAATGTTTAGTGGCTCATTTAATTTAGTTGAAAATCCTTCAAAATATTGGCTTTATGATGAAGTTGTAGAGTATGAATTATCTCATCATGTAAATTCTATTTCTTCACTTTCATGTCATTCAATTCCATCTACTCTTACAACTATTCAATCAACTAGTTCTCAATTAAAGAAAAATGATACAAAGCCTTGTTTAGTTGTGCCAAGTTCAATTAATAAAAAACATTCACTATCACTTAATCTTATTAATGGGTGTAAAACTGTTGTCTTACCTATTTCTAAAAAGTAATTGTATATTCATATTTCTTCTTTTATTTTATCTTTTTAATATAACTTCAGTTATTATATTTCATCATCAATGACAAATAAAATTAATATAAAACTAATAATGAATTAAATGTGGTTCATGTATGGATGTTTATAGAAATCTTCCCAAGATATTCGTTTATCTTCATCATAACACATTAATTTTTTCACTAAGTCAATAAGTTCAGTATATCGAGTATCTTCTCTAAATCGAAGAGGAAATTCTACCTCTTTTCTTTCTTTCATTTGACTATAAAATTCTTTTTTTGTTGTAGAAAATGGATATTGACATGTTGTAAGTCGATATAGACATACTCCAATTGAGTATAAATCTGTTTTAGATGTATAAGGTTGTTTTCTAATAATTTGTGGTGAAGTAAATAATGGAGTACCTTTAAAAGTAGCCATTACATCAGCAATAGCACGACCAAATCCAAAATCAGCAATTTTGACAATAGGATAAGGTTCATGTTTAACTAATAAGAAGTTTTCTAATTTAATATCACGATGAATAAATCCTTTTTCAAAATGAAGATAATGTTGAGACGCTGCTATTTGTTTAAATAAATTACTAACTAAATCAAGTGGGAGATAGTCATGATGTTGTGCTGCATACTCACTTAAAAAAGTATCTAAATCTCCTCCATCACACAATTCCATCACTAAAAATGCCCTTGGAAAATCTAATTTTAAATTTGGTGCATTAAGTCTAAAAGCAAA